CATTTGAAGTTCAAGCGGTTAAGAGATTATCTGAATTCATACATATTGTTACGATTTTACTAAATCAACCTCGATGATTTTCTGAATCCTTCGGGTACGATCTCTGGATTGTTAAATAAAACTCGCCAACTTAATTTGCAGTTTCTTTCGTTACAAGGAGTTTATCTAATATCCTTAATTACTCAGTAATTCACCATTCAATTACAATGCACTTTACTAGCCACAATCACTTGCTTAAACTTTCACAATTTACTCTACTTAAATGTAATCCCCACCTTACGACTTTACTGATCTTAACGCCAACGAGTTCACTTTGTAACTAACTTGACTTGGCAGCTGAGTGTCGCCCTTATATAGCAGTCGGCTGCTCGTAGACGAAAGTATAGAATACTCGAGTTGTTCGCTATCGAACGTTCTCGTTTTATCGTTTCTAGAATGTACTAGTTATCGGCTTCTCTCTTTCATCTGATATTCGCCTCGCATTTTCGCATCAATATGTATATATATCTATAATTATACACATACATACATATATTTGTTTACCAGAGCTGTTCTAAAATCCGATTACGATTGGAATTGGAATTGAATTATTTGGTCGATACCGCTTCTTAGCTTAGTTTAAAGTGTAGATCCCTTCATTTATGATCAAGACGCAAAACCACAAAGGAGGACGTTCGGCCAAAAATCTCGGTTACAAAGCGCCAATTATATATATATATCTATAACTTTCGCTCTTGAGTAATCGAGACAGTGTTTACATGACGGTCGGACCCGACTGTGTCTATAATTTTATAGACATTTTCGACAATTGGCCGCCACTTCGTGGAGCATAGTTTACATCAATAATGAAGGAAACCGAAAAGTAAGAGGACTATAAATGCTATTCACATTTTTAGCCGTCTCGCCTGCGTTTTCGCGTTTATCGAAGAAAAACTGTAAAATATAGCGTATTTTCTCTTTGCTAGTTTCCATCTGTCCAAATGTCAGAAAAGCTTTTTTAGTACGAAATGTCATCTTTCTAACGCCACCTACCGAAACCCGATCAAACTTATACAACGCGAGATACCTACATATAAGTAACGTCATCTATTGGAAAACTAATGATTTTTTTTTAATACACCAATATGTTTTGTTTTAGTTAACAGTCAGGTATTTCTGAAAATGAATCGCGCAACGTGTTAAAAAACTACTCTACTATAAAAATGGCGATTCCAACGTGACCACGTTGGGTGATTTAAGGCAGTAGTCTCCTTTAGTATGCAAAAAAAAAGGGATTTTTCAGCAATTTTTTTTTTAAAGCAAAGGAAACTATTGTGGTAAACGAAATTTTTAGACAATAATGTATTATATTATATTTAAGGTACAAAAAACATTTTTTGAAGCGGCTGGAGTCTTAGCCCGTGAAATGGTGCCTGTGATGAAGGTCGTGCTATGCATTATGAGTTTCTCTTCTATAACAGTTGCAAACTTGTGCCAATATAGACGGTTCAGTGATAATTGGTTAGAATATTTGGTAATTGTCCACTCACCGAACAGAGCTAATGCAACAAGGCAATGTTGACACTTTGAATTGGATTTGCTTTTTGAGCGAATTATCTTAATGCCGATAAGATTGCAGAACACTTTTTTGAGTCCGAATCGATGCAAAATCAACTTCTATTGGATTTCAGATCGACCTCGTTTATAGTGCTAAATGAACTTTTTTTTAAATAACTCAATGCATTTAAACGTTTGATAAAATTTTCTCACTGAATGCTTCAATAAATTGTAAAGACACACACACTTCCAATTGCTGCCAAACTGTGCCATAAATCAAAACAACGGAAAACTTTTACAACGCCAATGGATGAATAGCACCACGTGCAGCAATACACATAATTGGAGAAAGGCTTTAACAAATCATGACAATTTTTTAACTAAAATTACAATTATTACTTCCCATCAAAGCTTGGAAACACAATTGGAGAACAAACCTTGACGCAGTTGGATTAAAAAAAGTTTTTCTTGAGGTATTTAATAAAAAAAAATTGGCTTAACATTCGAGGACCTCAAGTAAGACTGGATAACAGATTTAAAAATGAACAAAACAATTACGCTTCATGTGGATTTATTTATATCATTGCCAGCCAAAGTTTATCATCATCATCATTTGAATAAAAATCCACCCTTTGAGTCTTCTTGATTATTTCAAAAGCACGTCTAAATTTCATAAAATCCTAGCTGAGCTAACATCTTATAACTAAGGCTGTGAAAGGTCATTTCAAATAAGAAAAAAAATTAAATTTAAACAGTTAAATACTGTAAAGTAAAATAAATAATTCAATAAGAAATATTTTGTCGCACAAATATTCGGCAAATGAAATTCCTTATACGGGAAAGAATTATCTAAATTCCAAACCTTTTAAGAGGAACTATAAATGCCTATACATACATACATATATGCATACTCATTTAAAATACAGCAGCACACAATTGATAAGGACCAAAGCACAGCGAGTGGTTCGTAAAAAAGTGAATTTTAAACATTTATTACCCGCTTCACCGTCTGGTGAAACTCAGTGCGCCATTTTATCACCAGAAAAAAATTTAAAAATTCAGTGATAATTAATAAAGTTTTTTTTTCACATTTTTTAACTAAAGTTGTTTTGGATCTTGATCGTTTGGTATTTTCGTACACTAAAAATGCTACAGATGAAGTGAAATGAATAAAATTATAAAATACTCATCTATAGATAGAAATTTTTGTGCATGCCAATTCGAGTCATTATTTTCTTTTAGGCAAAGCTTTATTTGTAATTTTCACAAAACGTCAAATTTAGCTGTCAAATTTCACTCATTTTCCAATCGAATACTTCGGAAATGTGAAAACATAATTTTCGCGAGATTTCCACGAAGTTAAGTTCATGATGAGCTTATTATTTATTTACCCTTGGTAATTCAAACAAACATACAAATTCTCGTGTATGTAATTTACATAAATTAGAAAATAACCGCGAAAGATATCTTCCCAAGATAGGTGCACACTCGTACATATGTACATATGTGTGTGAATATAAACATGTTGCGTGGGTATTTACGCAGAAATCCCCCAAATTAAAAGACAAAAATGAATAAAAAATAAGAAATTGCACAGAGAGCAATTTCGAAAGATAAGTCATCCATACACATACACATACATAAACGTATATTTGCATGTTTATGGCGTTGCAATATATATATGTATGTATTATTTATTTATATATTTTTTTGCTTGCATTTTTGCTCTGTTTCATCCAACTTAAATCGATATGTGCATGTCAAGAGTTTGTAGTTTGCAAAAGAACTGGGAATCCCCAATGAAGCCAAGTTGTTTGCCGGCGTATCCATTTTTAAGTAATAAACGTTGCAATGAGATGTGTGTTGTTAGCGCTTGTGCGCGACCTCTGGCTATTTTCATGCACACAGTTGTCACTCGAATTGGTTGGCTAAGTTTCTAAAAATTCTAAATTTTAAGCTTCGAAATATTTTTCGGAGAAAAGACTTTTAACAAAAGTATAAGAAATTAAGAGAAAAAATAGCGATTTTTTTTCTAAAAATTTGATGAAAAAAATTCAATTTGATTAATTTCTTAAATTTCATTTATTTTAATTTAATCTAATAATGTTTAATTTAATTTTAATTACATTACTTTAACTAATATAATTATGGCAAGGTTAATTTATTTTCAATTAGTTGAATTTAATTTTATTTGATTTTTACTTAACAATTTAATTTACCTTTATTTAATATAATTTCATTTCAATTTTAATTAATTTTATTAGTTTTTTTTTTAATTCTTTAAAAGTTATTTTAACTGAACTTAATTTAATATTATTCTTTTTAATTTAACTTGATTTAATTTTATGTAATTCATTTTAATTTCATTTTAATGTAACTCATTTAATTTTTAAGCTTTTTTATTTAGAAATTTTTCTTTATGTAAATTTTTATTCAATATTTTTTGATATGTAATTTTAATTTATATTTTTCCTACTTTCGCCCTTTTATATCTATGTATATAAACATTTTGTTTTATTTTCAGGATTTTAATAAATTATCTCATTAAACATTTGCTTTTCATTGCTTTATTGACACTACAGCATTTTGCTTTCTATTCAGTGTCGCCAGAACTGTTACAAAATTTTAATGGTTCCATCACTGTCTTTCAAAATAAGGCAATTTAAATTAGTTTAATTTAATTTCACTTGATTTGATTTAATTTAGACTACCTTATTTTAATATAATTTCAATTAAATGTCATTTCTTTTAATTTTTTTTATATTATAGACTAATTTTAATTTTCGTTAATTTAATATCATTATTTTTAATTATATATAATTTTAATTAAAGTAATTATTTTAATATAAATTTGATGTAATTTATTTCTTTTTTATTAAATTTTTTTAAGTTGTTTTATATAATTTAAATTTGATTCAATATTCTGTGATTCTTAATTTTAAATTCTTTTTTCCTATTCTTGATTTTGTACTCAATTTTATATTATTTACTGTAACAGATGTATATGTATATTTTAGAATGGAATATCTTCAATTTTATATATTTTATTTAATTTTTTATTTATACGTTTTGTTTTACTTTCCTAATTTCAATGAATTATCTTACTATACATTGATTGCTTTATTGATACCACAGCATTTTGCTTTCTATTTAGTGTCGCCACAACTGTTACACACTCGTAGTCGTTCCAACACTACACTGTTTCTCAAACTATAGGTAAGCAAAAATGAAAAGTAAAAAAGCCATCCACTGGAAAGTGTTAGAGATGTGCACCGCATGTTTTGCAGTGGGAATTAAGAACATTTTAAATTTATTTATATGTTAGTTAAAAATTGAAGTGCTTATATTTTGTAATTATTTTATTTCTTATAAAATAATAAGAATAAAACAATTTATTTACAATATTAATTAATCTTTTGTTTTTAGCGATTGTTATCGACATATCGCTTATCGACCTTTCATTCACACAGTACCATTAGACTTAACTTCCAAGCAAAAATTGAAGTGTATGCATCTTGATAAACTTGACATTTTGACTTTTGCAAAAGCAAATTCTTAAGTATTGATATTTGAAAAAATGGGTCCAAAAATAGAAACGGAATTTTATTTGCGTTTAATAAGAGGAGTACGCGCAAATCCATGTTTGTATGAGAAAAATCACAAATACTATTACAACAGAAATAAACGTAATGAAGCCTGGCAGGAAGTTGCTGCACAATCTGGTCGGCCGGGTACCGTAAATAAGTTCAATCACTAACATTTGCAAACATAATTGGTTAACTGAAATACTTGTTTTTGCTTTTTTTTTTGGTCATTTCAGAAAATGAATGTAAAGCACGCTGGAAGCTCTTACGGGAGAGGTTTTGTAAGCAAATGAAGAGGACTGAGGGACTTGTGGCACTGGATGGCAGTGATAGTGATAATAATGATTGGGAATATTATAAAGAATTAGTTTTCTTAAGAGATTCAATTATACCACGACGGTAAGTCGTTACAAATGTATTGCATACACAAAACTCAAAATTATATTTATATGTACATATATGTATTTTTCATGATTATGGCCTCGACAGCTCACGTAAAGGCAAAGATGAAAGCTGCAGCTTGGAAGAACCGACAATCAATGAAGTTTTTATAAATGTTGGTGCTCTAAGTGAAGATGAGTCCTGCTCCTCAAATTCACTTTTTACGAAATGCACAAAACGCTCTTTGGAAAGCAGTAATAAATCATCCGAGTTCGATTTAGCGCCATTAAAAATTGAACGTATGGTAATGGATTCAGATTTTCACAAATCAGAAAAAGATGAAATTAAAAGTTCTACGTATAAAGACAATAATCAAAGCACTGCATTATCAGATAATTCTATTGACGATTTATTTGTTAAAAATATTGCATATTTGATGCGTGAACTACCAATAGAGGTTAAGGATCGCTTTCAAGCAGATATGTATGCGGAAGTTTACAGATTGCGAGCACAATATCGGAACTATTAGTTCAATTTAAGTGCACCGGTGCCATGGCTTCTACGAATGCTTATGAGATTTTGTTTTACGTATATATAAATGTTATTTTGTTATCTCTGTTATTTAGTTCCAGTTTGTTACATTTCCACAGTTATATATGTTCGTTTTTGGTAATGAAAATAATTTAATAAATATATATTTGTTATAGTTATTTTGAGTACAGTGTGTATATATGCATTTAAGAGAAATGATTCCAAAGCACAATTTCGTATATAGTTTCTGACTTAACGTACATACCTTCGCCAATAATTTCAAAACTTTTAAGAAATATATTAATTCTACCAAATACTTTACTCCAAAACTAACTTTGGTTTATTTTTTTAGTTAATTTCGCATATTTGACAACAGAACCTTCATAACAAAACACTTACTGAACATCATCTCCAATAGTTTTCAAACTGCATAATCAGTAAAAGATTGAAGTCCAGTGTAAATAAAAGCAGATGATCAATCAGCTGATGGTAGAGTAAAAGTGTTGGTAAACTTAATCAGGGAAAAGAACTGACGAATTATTTTTAAGTATTCCTCTTATATGGCCAAAATGCTTCTACTCCTTAATTAAAAATGAGATTTCGGTCTCAAAATCTTTTCAGGTAATAATTATAAAAAATATATTTAGTTTTTTACCATGGGTACCATGTTCTACTTTGATAATAGCGCAAAGTTAATAAGCCAGAAAATGAAAGTGGCCTAAAAAGTATTGACTTGCAACATTGTTTTTTGACGAGCTGTACAAAGGCAAAAAAAAAAATTATATCAAAAAAGTAAATATTGAGTGTCAAATTATACCAAAAAAAGAAGTTGTATTTAATAGATATCGCTCAGAGCACGAGTTTCCCACTTTAATAACAGAATATGGCCAGAGCAAGTTATAAAGTAGCTAATAAAAAATGACCGAAATGGTGCAAAAGGGAATGAAAAATACGTAACATACATAACTGCTAGCTCTACCCAAGCTCCGGTCGTCGGAGCTTTGCGGCGGCGCGGGCATGCCGAGTCAACCTTCAATAGAGTGGTGGCTACAGATTCAGTCGAAAGCCTGCCGTTGACGCGTTTTGTTGGTGCACTGGGAAATAGTTAGTTAACCTTGATTTTAGACAAAAGCCAAATCGAGTTGTTTTATTGATTTAAAAGTAAAAAATCTTTGTCGTCAATTTTTAAATCTAAATGATTTTCTTTGATCGCACAATGGAATACCTGCAAGATATCTATGCAAAAGTTATCGGCTATGGCAGTGGAGTTATTAACTATAATGCGTAAATATCGCTAATCGTATTTCTTTACAAATTAATATACAGGTGTTTCGTAATTATAAAAACTTATTTATCTGTCTTGCTTTCTAACCTCCCTTGCACGCGTAGGCCACGAAAAGTTGTTGCTTTTGGTAACGTACTGCTGGATCATACCGCACAGCTTCCGAATGACGAAACCGAATTATTGGAACGCTTTCAAATACCGGCTGAATCAAAAGGAGAATTAGATGCAGAGATTTTAGCCAAGTTAGCAGCGGAAGCAGCGGAGCGGTAAGTTAGCTTGTGTTTATAAAGACGTAAGATCAGCTGTTATTATGCTATTAAATTTTGTTTATATTTAATATAAATTTTCATTTTGCTAACAAATCTACGTTTTTATTATTAGTGCACAACTTGATGTAAATCCCGGTGGCTCAGCATTGAATACCGTGCGAATACTCAAACAACTCGGCACAGATGCACTATTCTTTGGTGCCGTTGGCGAAGATAAGACGGCAGAGAAGTTAAAAGAGATTCTGCAGGAACGGGAAATTGAAACGAGGTGAGTCTGTGGGAATTACCAGTGGCTTAATATAAACAACAAATGACTAAGAGTGCAATTAAAGCGTATATTTTTTGTACAATATAATTTCAAAAGGGCGCTTTGTAACAAATAATAGCAATGTGCGTAGGTGGCTTGAAATGCATTAATTTATGTAACAAACACAAACTAAACCCAGAAATAATTTATAATGAGTTCTATCAATTCTGAAAGTGTTTTCATTTTACGCACACGCACTACAGTGTTGTAGCACCCGCATTCAAATAGTCACGCTTTGTTGCACAGCGTGCTATAATTCAAGTCACGCTTTGCTAAATTTGTATGAATGCATTACAAAAAGGGTCTACAATCATGTCTTACATTTCCGCTCTTTGTTTGTTGTATATTCTTTTGGAGCTTTTTGGTATAAAGTTCATTTACATTTGCATTCCAATGCATGTCATAGGGAGTTGGTATAGTTTAGCAGAACCTAATTTAAATAAATTACATATACATACATACTGTTGTGTATATGTGGGTACATTTATTACACATGAGCGCTTGCTAATTCGAGCCCTTTTAACCACGGCACGTTTGTTGGTAACATTAATATCACTTCTTTGCTTCTCGCTTGTCGAAGTTATTTTTTTTTTTTTTTGGTGATGGTTTCAAATGCCTAAAGTGCGCGCTACAAATAAATAAATAAAATATGTCATTGACTCATAACACTGTGATCCCTTGCGGATTCTAATTACTTAAAAAAATAAAAAAATAAATAGAAAATAAAATATAAAAATAAATTAACTATGTGCTTAAAAAGTTTGCTCTAATGACTTTGCATATGTGCTTATGTATACATACATATGTGTAATTCTTTATTTGGAGCTTTCTTGGTGTTTTTTGTTCGTTTGTGCACATATGTATGTATGTATGTATGCCATATAATTTCGTCTAAATGCTTTATCTTGGCCCCCGTTGTTTGTTGTACTTACTTATCTGTTTTTAAAATAATCTTAATTTGAAATGAAATTCCTATCATCATAGTCTATTTGTTTAGTCATTAGGGTGTAGTGTCATTCTTTAGCGCATTCATCTGTAAAACATACATCATTATTTTCAGCGAAATATAGTGCATAAGGGCTAATCAGCTACTACTTTTTCTTAAGAAATAGTACAACGCATATATAAGAGCAGAAAAAATAAAAAAAATTGTGCGAATTTTTATTTTTAACTTATGTAAACAATTTTTTTCAGTTATAATACGGTATTTTTGGTTTACTTTTCATAAGAAATCCTGGTGTCTTTTGGGTTGAATTAAATTAGTAAATTTTAATATTAGAAGCAGCAAGACGTTTCATCTAACATATTAATTAATTTCAATAAATTAATTGGTTTATTTCTTAATAATTATGTATGTAATTAATATTTTTGGGCGCGTTAAATTTTTTTATAAAAGCTATAGAGGTTAGGAATATTTTTTTTTATTGTGCTTTAAAAATGTTTACGTTCTCTCTGTATTTTTTCAGCTCTTTGAAGCAAGTTACAAATTCGATTACATGAAATAATCGATAATACAATAATAATTTGCATTTTCTAAAATCTCCACTTGATTACTCTCAAGCGCACAAAAATAAATATTATGAAAACAAATCGACCACTCATTACGTCATTTCCTGGAGTGTATTTACCCTCAAGCATGACTTATCCTTCTTGTAAATCCCCATTAAACGAAATTTCTTTTTAAATCAATATCATGCCACTATAAAATGGTTTAAACATTTCAAAATACAAAAAATTTCCCCAACAAAATAACTGTATAAATCGACATCATCAACTTAATAAATATCAATTACAATAACTATTTAAACCACTTGCCTCAACAAAATCGCACAATCACTTAATTTGTTGTAAAATAACCTTTTCGTGCAATACCCCAGCTCACTTTATGCCCTTAATTGCTACTTAAGTTCCCATCAAAATACCGACTTCGTCGTTATTTGATTTTTAAATTACTACAAGCGTGAGAAATGCCAAACAATAGAATTCTTTGTATTTTTATTAGCAACTTTAAATAACAAAAGTAAATGCAACAGTAAATATTATATTTGTTACATACTTTTTTTTTCTCAATTTCCACTTTACAGACTCGTCACGGTGAATGATGTGCCCACCGGTCAGTGCGTTTGTATTGTCAATAAAGATACCAAAGCAAAAGCGTTGTACGCTAATATTGGCGCTTCTGCAAAGCTGTCCGTCGATCATTTGCGTAAAGCACATTATGATGATACACAACCCTTTCTCCGTCCCATTGAACGTAAACAAATACTCTATATTGAGGGATTTTTTGTGCCGCAACGCCAAGAAGTCTGTGATTTCATCGTTAGGAATTACATAAAAGAACGTCGCCGTCTGGCTATCAATTTAAATGCTGAATACATTATAAAGGATAATTTTCAGCCATTGCGTCAGCTGGTGCGTGCAGCTTTCTTCATTTTCGGCAATCGTAAAGAACATATGACATTCGCGGCAGAACTGGGTTTTGATACAATCGAGGCAGCCGCTAAGCATGTCATCGAAGAATTCAACACACCCAAAGTGATTGTGGTGACAAATGGACGTGAATGTGTACAATTGATTACAAATATCGAGGATGAGTACTCAATGCCAGGGGAAATTGCATTTCAGAGTTTTCACGTGCCACGTGTCGATGAAGTTGTAGACTCAACAGGTGCTGGTGATGCATTCGTAGCCGCGTTCCTGCATGCTTGGCTAGAGAAACGTTCGTTGACGGAATGTGTGCGTGTGGCTAGCGATGTTGCTGCCAAGGTGGTGACAGTGGTTGGCTGTAATCTACCATGAATGCAAAGGTGTTGCTGATTAGCTTTAAAATCGCTAAAAGTAATCATTAAGATGTTTTGTTTTTATGTACGAGTATGCATTAATCTTGTAATAGGGCGGCATTAAATCCAACTCAAGCATTAGTCTAAGTAGTGTAAGCGAGCAAACACTTGAATATTCATTTATCATTACATTTTTTCGCTTTGCTTCTTGCTTTGGAACATAAGCATGCTTTAGAAATAATGCTGCACTTATAAATATTGCCTGTCTCATTAGCGTTTTAACGCCAAAACACTGTAGTTGCACTTTCATGCATACATACATACACGCATGTATCTATACGTACATACAACAATGCTTTGCTAATTGGTCTCAATTTATGTATATTTGCAAATGCCGCGACATTGACTCATTTAATAACTCATCTTGTGCACAAAGCAGTAATGCAAATTCTGATACGGCACAATTTCATAACAATATCATATGTAAAAAGTACTTAAGCTTTATGCAATCAAGTGTTTTTTCCCCCTGCTTTATTAAGCGTCTCATACATACGTATAAGGCATCTTATACAGATTTGAATGTAGAAACATTTGTCACAATATTCAATTGAAATTCATACACCATACATATGTTTGTAGGTTTGAAAAGATAAGCTTTCTAGCATTGAGTGGGTGATAGATAAAATTCTCATATATGCATTACTGACGCCCAAATCTCTAGCGTTCAGCATTCTTCATAGTTTGCTACAGTCGTGAAAATAGAAAGTTATTCATAAATTAACTTAAAAATGACTAATGATTTATAAATAAAGTAGACAATACGAATGTATGTGGATATAATTTTTTTTTTAATATTTATGCCATTTATGTGCGCATAACGTAATTACTATAGCATATAATGCTTAACCAATTTAAACTGGTTCTAGTTAAGTTTAAATAATCACTTAACTTCTGTTTACAATACATACATACATTTAAACTTTCTTTCTTTAGACTGATTAAAGTAATCTAATTAATCTGAAGTACCTTTCACATTTACTTGCTAAATTATTTACTTTTTGTGCGAATTTATTATACCAAAAAACAACAAATGAAAAAAATAAATGTGGTGCTTGCAGGGTATATTATTTTTAATTATACATCGATTATTTTTTCTTTTTAAAATAAAAATAAGAACATAGCAAATAAGTTCACAATGGTTGTAAGTGCCTTATAAAAATAAAAGTTATAAAATTAGCGCAAAGCAATAATAAAAATCAAATTATTTAAAATTAAGTTGAAATTGTATGAATTTGCTTTTTTATAATATTTATTAAATGTTCACAAATAAAATTTCAATGTAACGAAATGTGGTATTCTCATATTGTAGAGTAGAAGCTTTTAGTTAAATTTTATTATAACAAAAAAAAAACTAAATTTAACTACAAACTTATTTAGTATAAATAATTAGATATTTGTTTCAAAGTGAGCCGTTTAAGTTTCTTTTGATTATAAAAGTATTTATATTCCCCTATTGTTGGTTTTTTTAATTATTTTTAATTTCTTAAATTTTTTTATTAAATTTTTTTTTATTTTTGTTTATTTTACTTCATTTTATTTTTATTTTGAGTTTGCTTTTTAAGTTTTTAATCTGACTTTATTGTATCTTACTTAATTTAATTTATTTGATATTTATTTTATTTAATTCATATTTTATTTTACTTATTTTGTATTTAATATTTTATTTTCCTTTTCCTTACTTAATTTAATTTTTTATATAATTTATTTCATTTTGTTTTACTCTATTTTATTATAATGTATTTATTTTATTGTTATTTTAAATTTATTTTATATTTTTTTAATTTTCGTTCTATAGTAAATTTAGTTCCACTCTTTTTCAATTTTAGTTCAAATTATCTTTCTTTATAATGTTTTAGCTTATTTAATGTAATTTAACCTATTTCAATTAAATTTCGTTTTGATTTATTTAATTTAATAAGATTATTTTCACTAATTTATTGTGATTTCTTTTTATATACATATGTGTTGTTTTCTTTTATTTGTATTTTAGTTTATTTTATTCCTTCATTTTATTCTGTTTCATTTATTTTATTCTTAGTTTTATTTTTTTGTCTTCTTTTATTTATTCTCATTTTACTTTTCAATTAATTTGATTTTTTATTTTATTTTAGTTTAATTTAATATTGTTTACTTCATTTCATTGCTTTTTGATTTTAATTTTGATTTGTTATTTTTTTGCTTTTAATTTTTCTTTTTTTTTGGCCTTATATTATTTTTATTTTTTTATATATAATTTTTCTACTTATATTATATGTATTTGATGTTTTTATTGTAATTAATTTTCTTTTTCTTATTGATTTTAATTTTTTTTTAACTTTATTTTACTCTATTTTATTTTATTTTATTTTTAATTCAATTTAATTTTATATATTTTGTAAGTTTTCGATATAAGTATTAAGTAAACTACGAGGCCTGGTTGTTTGTATGAATCGAATATTTGTTATACAAAAAAGAAAAAATGGTAGAAGTGACAGCTGTTTCGAAGATCACCACATCTCCTCATCAGACTTCTTACGGCAGGGATCAAACCAACGGATCCTGATTTAACAGGCGAGTGTTCTACCACTGCGCCAACATGAGCCATGTAATTTATTGTTATATATATATATGTAATATATATTTTAATTTATCTTAATGTATTTTATTTCTTAATTTTAATTGAATTTAATTTATTGTATTTCATTTTATTTCGTTTAACTTTTTTATTTTGCCATTTTTATTGTTTATTTTATTTTGTTTTATTTTATTTTGTTTTACTCTATTTTATTTTTTTAAATTTAATTTCTGATTACATTTTCTGTATATTAATTTAATTTAATATAGTTTCGTGCATTTTATTTCATTTCAGTTGTAATGCATTTCAATTTTTTTTATTATATTTTATTAATTATTTTTTTATTTATTAATTTTTTAAATTTAATTTAACTTTATTTGTTTTGTTCAAATTTAGTTTAATCTTATCAGTTTTTATTTGATTTTATTTTATTGTATTTTGTTTTATTTTATTTTTCTTTATTTTATATTTAAGTTTTTTATTTTGATTAATTTTATTTTTGTTTTATTTTAATTTAATTTTATTTTATAATCTTATTTTATATACGTAAAAACTTTTTATTTTGTACTATTTTATTTTAATTTTTCTTGCATTTCATTCATTTGATTATATTTAAATTTAATTTTGTATATAACCTTTTTTTTGAATATAAATGTATACTTTATTTAATTTTATTTAATTTAATTTGATTTTATTTTGTTTTAATTTATTTTATTTTATATTATTTTTTTATTTATTTTTTTTTATTTTATTTTATTTTATTTTATTATCTCATTTAATTTTGTGTGCTTTAATTTATTTTGCTTTTTTTATTTTATATTTTATTTAATTGAAAATGTTTTTATTTAAACTTTTTATTTCAACGTTTTTGAATTCTTACCAGGCGAGAATTCGAAACTGGAAAGTTTGAAATTTCTTTTAAATACTTCGTTTCTGTTTCTCGTGATATTTACATTCAAAAATAATTCCATTAAATTTAAAAGTGAATTAAATATTTTTTTTTTGTTAAATTATGTTTCAAATGGCAAAATCTTTTATTTTCGGAAGAGTTAGGAAAAATGTTTAGAGCCCTACGCCTCTTAAACAGCGCGGTAAAACGTACGGGAACTGAAATACAATTTTCTGCATTTACAAAGTTTGGTAATTGGATAAACCTCATAAATTACTGCATGTTAAGCACCGAGAGCAGTGGAAAGGTAAATGAGTTCGGCTGTATTATTTTAGAGAGACCGATAACTAATCAAACGACTATTTAAAAAAATTTGTTCCAGAAAGAAAAAGAGGCTCCAGATACTAAAACAACAAGAACACTACCTAAGTGAGTTAATATTTAGGAGATATAGAAACTATGTGACGTCTGATGACGATCTCCCTCCCAGTCATCGCATTTAAGCTTATAATTTCTGTTATTAATTACTTTGTATCCATTCCAGGCAATATAAATTTATTTCTGTTGGACATATCCTACTCGACTATACGGCGCGACTGCCTGCGAATGAAATCGATATACTACACAAGTTTCATATACCATACAATACAAAGGGTGAGTTGGACGTACAGACATTGAGAAAGTTGAAGGATGAGGCATGCAGGAAGTGAGTGATCGCAGAGTATGAATTTCATATTAAAATACAAAATATATGTGTATTCTAGAGTAGAATGCGTAGAGAGTCCGGGCGGATCTGCGCTGAATACAGTGCGCATACTGACACAATTGGGTGAAAGCGCGCTCTTCATTGGTGCCGTTGGCGACGATGAGGCGGCAAAGAAATTGCGAAAACATTTCAGAGAGCACAACATTGATGTACGGTAATAATTGTACTGCTGCTGTGGAGCTTAAAAACATTTAATAAAAAATATTACCTTACTTTCAATGCAGTTTGTTCACCCAGAAGGAACTCCCAACCGGCGAATGTATGGCGATCATCAATAAGGATACGCAAGGCGAAGCGCTCTATGCGAATATTGGCGCTTCTACAAAAATCTCCATGGAGCATATGAAACAAGCTGAATAGGAGCTACAGTTTCTGCGTCCCACAGAGCGTAAGCAAATCATCTACTTGGAAGGCTTCATACTGCCGCGTTGTAAAGAATTGTGTCACTACATGGTAACGCATTACTTGAGCGGTCGTCGTTGGTTGGCTCTCAATTTGAGCGCGGAGTATATAGTACGGAACAATTTTCATGCGATTATGAAATTCGCATGCATGGCGTACTTCATCTTTGGTAATGGCCGCGAGTTTTGCGCATTGGCCGATAAAATGGGTTTTGGCCGCGATATAGATAAGGCGATTAAGATGATATTTAAACAACATGCTGGTCCGTGTATTGTGATTATAACAAATGCTGAGAGAGGTTTAATACTAGTGAGTAATGTTGAGTATGGTTCGGCTAAGCCCGGTAAGCTAATCTATCGTCAGTGTCGCGTTGATCGTATTGATAATGTCGTCGATACAACCGGTGCGGGTGACTCGTTCGTTGCCGGTTTTTTACATGCTTTTCTGAATAATTACAAACTGAAGGATTGCGTGATTGTTGGTACGGCGGTAGCGGCGCAAGTCGTTACCAAAATCGGTTGCAATCTTCCATCGGATTTCAATGTTAAATCCATCACAGATAAAATGAAAAAAATTAAATGATTAACAAATATTGACTTTAAATAAATCAATAAACAAAGAAATATGGCAAGAGTGGAAATGTCTGTAGTTTACAGTTAAATGGAACTTTTTGGCGACCGGCGCCCGAGCTCCAATTTAGACTAAAAGACAGCCCGATTGAAAGCAATCGTTGGTGTAGCCTCAGGGAATGGCTGGCTCTCGGAAAGTATGTACATCTTATGCAACAAAGAGATTTCTTTCAGGTACTTCAGCCGGTCTATTCGGCTGTGAGGCTTTTGATTGGAATGTTAGGTTTAATTGATTGCCTCACATAGGCGATGCCACGTCGATAGTGTTAGCGGTTGAACTACATGCGACGAAGATTGGTTGTGTCTCTGAAGTCTGAAGAACATTGCTGCCTGCTGTATGTCTTGATAATTTGTTGTATGCTAAGCCAATAGGCGATACCATACTAGTACTACTAGCCGCCTGGAGTCTGATTGATTTAATAATGTTTTTGTAGTATTTTTGCTCGTTTATTAGCCTGATGACTGTTTCCTGTTTCGGGAGTACTCCCTATTCAGCCAGTGGACTTTGATATCCACATGCCCTGATAGAGAATAAATGTGGATTTTCCTTACTTCTGATAATCTTTAATGGCCGCCTGTCTGTCTTCATAGATATGTATATTCCTGTTTTTTTTCACCAGCTTCTATTGTAGGCGTCAAAGGTTTCTCAAGTGTGGAAAAATGCCGTCCGTTCGTCTTCTCTGAGATAACACTATACCGATGTGTCATTATGTCTCAAAGAGGCTTCCGGTCAGTAGATTCGAAACCGCATGAAGCGCCACAGATGTGTGTTGTTTTAAGTTCTCCGGTAAAATTGATCATTGATAATCTGAAGACTATTACCAGCTTCCCCAGATATGTTGTTTTTTCTGTAGCTTTCCACCATTCTTTAACTCTGTACAAAAGTATTGGTTTCACAAGCGCAGGGTAGATTCACGGTGACAGGTCTCAAGGGCAGCCCAACATCATACGAGTATAGAACCGCTGATTCTTGTTATTCAACACAGCCTCCAGTCTCTTATTATTGTTGTTGTTGTAACCGTAAAAATAGTACTCAGAGTAGTTTTTGGGGAATGTTGCGAGAGTGACAGTCCTTAGCCGGATAAAACTCCGTGTCCTTCCGATATAATGACCCGAGTGTCGCGGGAACTATTGGTTTTGAGTCGCCTCTTACAGCTAGTAAATCCTTGAACCCCTAACTCGCAGGGGTGAGACACTTATTGCTTATTTTCGGTAGTAGAGTTATCTCGCCTAGTTTTGATTTGGTCCATGCCGGTAATTTGCATTTCTTAGTAAATAGGAGAAGATTAGTTTTATTAGGAATCCCACTGATTTAGCTCAATTATTTATTGCTATAAGTACTTGATGTGCCACGGAGCTAAATGTTGCCAAACCTTACCCCTTACTGTAATCGAAATATCTTCTGCCGTAAGCATAGCTCCAGTATATTTAGGAGCAATGATGCCAAATTGATTGCACGGTAGTCCTTAGGATACAGATGCCCGTGATATGATAGGGCGAGCATTACATCGATATAAATCATAGCTTGAGGCTCTTATAGTCAAATCTCCCTCCTACTTTGATGCAGGGGCCTGCATTCCGCGTTTTAGGTGACGGACTTAGCTGATATTGTTAAAAGCAGAGTCCCTTTATCCCATCAACAGGGGGACCATAATCTTTGGCTTTGGTAGAGTGGTCCTTAAGGCTTTGCCTATTGAAGTGAGGCGGAAGATTATTAGCCCTCAGCTTACAGTATTAAGGTGGTCGAACACGCAGGCATGGTATTTACCCAACCCTCTCTGATGTTGCCAGCACTGAATATCCTCCAGATTAATCTCCACCGTTCTGTGGCAACTTCCTTAAAGCTGAAAGTAACTCCTTCGACTAAACTTCTTGCAAAGTGGGTCTGGGAATTTATAAGTCTTTTGCCCGCAAAGTAAAAAACGATATCAGAGTCCTATAATTTAGGATAACTTCCAGCCAGAAACCCAAATCTTTTAGGAAATCTAAAGAATGAAGCGGAAATATATGCACAGGATAGAGGTATAGACGGTACGAGTTTCATTGACCTACTGAGTAACTAAAGCTTGACTTGGGCGATAAACTCATTTAAACCTTTAAAGCCCTCTAGATCGTTTCTATTGAAACCATTTTACTCTCCATTGTGAGGTTTTTTCCCATCAGCATATGTAGTGCATTTAGGACTAGTCCTCGGCACTTAAAGCGATTGCCCTCTAATGCCTGTGGATAGAAAAAGTAGGTTCATCGTTGTGAGAATCAGAGCCTCAGGAAACCTGGCTTGAGAAAAAATCATTCAGTTGGTCATGTACGGCTCGATATCAACCTCTTTACTGTCTCTCCGAGCTAGCGCCGAGGGGCTAATTTTTCACCATAACCCTTCCAAACGAGGACAGGTGCGGGAGTGTTTTGTTGATAAGGATTAATTAAGGAAATTACGTCGCTTGGCTCACTTAAGATGAGCTCCAAAAATATGAAGGAATGTTTCTCATTGCAGCCTTTGTCATCGGCTTATTTCCAGAATCAAATGAGTACGTGGTCACCACGTAGTTTCTGGGAACTAAACTTCCTGCTGGATGAAGCTCAAATGGAAACTCTTATAACAAGATTCAGCGACCCGTTAGCCGACTAAATATTCTAGACAACTGGGCTCAGTTCTTATAGATGCATCTACTCCTTCCCTAGTAGGGAAGAATGGCGTAAGATACCAACATCTATAATGATGGGTCTAAATGTGAAGCAGGGCTCAACCCTACTGAAAATAACTCTAATGTCTCAGTAGAGATTGCGAAAATGATTGAAGGTGCCACATGGTTAACCGCTTTAATATAAAAATCGAACAGATATCTAGTAGACAGCCAAGCAGTAATTAGAAAGACAGCGAATATCACTTGGGTTATAGACCACACTAAATCAGAACATGCCCAGAAGATGACGAAACGCTGGAGCATTACCAGTGCGAAAGTTCGGCCTTAAGCTGATTGAGAATTTAAATTTTTGGCAATGCTTTCAGCTGTAACCCTATGGAGTACGCGTCCATGGTCGGAAGAAATTAAACCGGCTTATCATATGCCGAATGATCTGTTCGCAAAAGAATAGTTTGGGTACGTGGTAAAGTACATTGAGACTACTCAATGGCTTAAATAGCGTCGCTTGCGGGAAGGTTTTCAGCGTCTCTTTTTCAATCAAGATCATCTTGAGATCAGCCACTTATAGTTAACCGAATCTATGACTCAGACAAACGTTTATCATACTCAGGCAAAACAGCTTTTCATGGTACTATGTCTTTATAAATTTATTTCTATGTTAGTTATTAAGTACTTTATATCCTTGCGCCAAAAAGTAGGCAACATTTTAGTCTCACTGCTATTAATGTTTGAAATACGTATACAACTAACCGTGTGTGCTTTTCCTTTTCGTTACAAAAAGATAACAAGTAAATATCGCACAAGAAAATCTTAAATACACATTTTCGAAAACAATAATTCCTTCTTTGACAGCAAATATTTTTGCTGGCCATGTGTTGCATGTCTTTCAAAATTGCATTTTCGGCATAACTGCTGCTGCCTCAGCACCAACCCGCCACCATCGCTTAACACATCCAATTGGTGAATGATTTATTGCGTTCGAATGCTGAAATTGCACAAACGAAACGGAGCTGAACTGAGCCGCAATGAGCAAAGGAGCGCGCAAAGCGACCGACGACTGGTCATTTGTGCAAACAAACAAAAGTTTTGTGTATGAGTGCAGTATGCCGGACAGGCTCTGACCATCTGTAGTTGACATTATTTGCTTTTCTTTTTTCCAATTTCATAAATGCCCACAAACTAACTGGCAGCAGGATATTACTGGTTATCATTGCACATACTCGTACATATATGTATATGTACATGTATATATGAATGTATGTATGTATGTACATATGTCTGTATGATACGTATGCATGTGGGCATATTATTTACAAAGCGTCGCTTGTATCACTTAGCTATTGGCGGCTTCTGCGCTCACCCACTCGCCCCAACGCCAGTTGTGCCCTTTTGGCCTTGCGCTCTGCCTTTTCGCCGACTTTTGTGCAAATGTTTGCAGAAAATATTTTTCCCCCACCCCGGACGCAATGTGCCGGCCAGCATGCCTCGCAATACACCACGCTTGGCTGGCTGCTCGCCTGTCTTTCTGTTGTCCTGTTATCCTATGGTATTGTTGTTAGCCAAATGTGATTGACCAGCAGTCCTCTCTCCCAGCACATATACCCATGTATGTACATATGTATGAGCTTTTCATGCATGTGTGCACATGTGGTCGCTGGCTTGCGGATGAGGGTGTGCGTGTGCCTGTGTGTGTGTGTGGTTGTTCGCTAGCTTTATTTGCCTTTGTGCTTTTTGCGGTATGACGCTCGAGTAAGTGGCATTAATGTGGAATTTTATTGTATGTTGACGATTTTACCGTTACATGCCAACTCATACTAATACATTTTTTTTTTCATCTACAAATACAAAGAGACTTTCTCCTCACGTACTTAAGCTGGCTCTGTGTTTGCATGAAGGCATTTTTTCCGCAATTTATTTGCTGAGTTGTTTTTATGATTTTACTTTTTTCATAGTTGTTGTTGTTTTGTTATTTTTTTATATTTTGTTTTCACTTTTATTGTTATTATTATCATTACTCTGCGCATTACTGTAGTTGTTTACGGCTTATACCTATCATTCACTGGCTTCGGACATCGCCTGCGAGCCTTCGTCCTGAAAGGGAAATGTGTGAGGATTCGCTTGATTTTTTTTGCCAAATATGTCATCAAGCATTTACACAATTGTTCTCGAACTTAATCCGCAGTGATTGGCCATTTTGTAGATTGATTGTAATTATCGAGGGAATTAATTTGGATTTTATTAATTCGAAAGGGTGAAAACTTTGAGTAGTGCGAAAATATTCGTACATATGTATATATGTAAAAAGATGCGGTCATTTTCAAAACTCTTAGAGAGGGATTTCTAGGCTGACAT